GGCACGGGTTGATCATTGGCCAGAAGGCAGTGTATCGCCGATTTTGGCGGTGAGTTATGGATGTCGAGAGAACTTCTCTATAAACTTCTGACCAGTTGCATAATGACTGGTTGTTCAGAAGCGTAAACTATTGTTTGTATATTCAATTTGTCAAACGATGAGGTCGGAGGGCTTTGATGATCATGTCTGCAACATTATCCATGGTTGGGACGTGCTTGATGGCGAATTTCTGATTTTCAATCACCTCTGCGATCTTGTTGCTTTTCTTCACGTAAAGTATCGTACCGTCATAGTTCCCTACATTTAAGCAAATCGCCAGGGTGCTTTGACAAGGCGTGCGATTTTAACCCTGAGCTGTCAAAAGGTGTCTACAATGTAAGCTAATGTCGCCGGGCTATATGTAGTAATTATCATGTACAATATAGACACGTCGCTTGGTGTTACACACCTCTGCGCCAATCCACGTGCAATTTTGAGCACTTTCAATAGAAATTTATCGATGCTTCTAACATAATCCGATTGAAACACTTTCGCAAACCCTATTCATGAGTCTCCTCGCTCCTTCACGCTGCACTCTTGTGCCTCATCAAATTGCATGCTCTGAATCCGCGATTTAAGTGCTAGCAGTTGCTGATGCACTAAAGGTGATCGATTGCTCACATCATTTACTGACCTCTGGAATGTGGACGAAGCATCATCCAATATGTCCACTTAATTGGTCACATATTATTTCCGTATTTACAAATGTGCAGCTGAGTTTCAATATTAAGTAATGTGGTACACACATTAAAAATGGACCTGTGCGACCGATGGGGCGCCATGGTCCGGCTGGCTAAATCACGGGTCGGGGTCTAACCCGGACCAATGGCCTCGGGTCGGAGCCTTACTAGTACATTCACATCTCGGAAAACGTTTATTTTCATAAGCTTACGACTTATACAAAAATGGGTTCCACCATGCTCGTTCTCTGGTCGCTAACTCATTACTCATAACGATCGGAAATTCATGAGTTTCCAAGGGACAAAATATCGTACGAGAATTCCGAAGCAAAGGAGGTCATGCTGCTCCATAAAATGCATAACTTAAGGGAGGGCTCAGAGTCTTCGTGTACCAAACTTGCAGACACAAGAATCAAGGGAACTCTGAGTGGTGGTATCCATCGGATGGACATATGGAGTACCACCCGCATAGGACATGAAGGCAATGGAGATCCGCACCTAGTTCAAAAATCCAAGCAAAATATTTTTATACTGAAAATTTCCAAACTTCTTCTAGATATTAGATTACCACCTTTCTTCTGTTCTTAAGAATCTCAATCACTTTCTGCAAAATTTAAGTCTCAATATCATGTCGTATAATGGGCCTAAATCATTTTCAGTAAATTGTACAACATCAGCCTAATACGGATCTTCTGATTCTCGCATATTAGTTTGTCCATGTTGGAAAAGCCTTAGGGCTCACAACGAGCAATTACAGACCAAAGTCCAGGCAGTGCTGCATCCACAAATTTCTCATTTTCTGTATCACTTTCGTCGAAAATCCTGATGCTGCACAGCTTTTCCGCTGTTGGGAGCATTGCATGTAGCGAAGCTACCCTTACTTTTTCGTCACAAGATTACTTCCGGACTCGTAGATTCTCTTAGTGCACCAAAATAAACGGCCATCAACTTAAAAGGTTTCAAGTCCTTCACATGATGAGACTTAACTATACGTGTATTTCAAGCTCTTCAGCTTCTAGTCCTGGTTCAGGGGACTACGAGTCCAAGGATTTACGTGGCACTAATGCCCAAAAGTACTTGGCCTTAACTCAGATACTCAACTCTTACGACCAGAGGCATCTTAGAAAGACACGTGTCTGATACTGATCAAAAGGGGAACTGGACATATCTTCTGATTTATTGTGATAATAAACCTTACTTACATCTGGTTATCACAACCATTTGTGTAACCCTGTTGATTACTCACTCAAGCTGCTCTCAGGTTTGCGAAGACGTTCGGAAAACATCTAGGCCTTAACTTTGATGGTTTTCGTTTAGGAGGTGAACATGCCTTGTTTTTATTGAAGCACCCCAAGTTGACAGGGCTCCCCCCAGCATACAACGGGTTTTAGCAAGTTGCATATACGAGTGATAAAATGATGTCAATAATGACCCAAGGTCGCATCAAGAAGGGTGTCTCCACCGGTCTATGAAACTTTTTAAACCACATTTAAGCTGAGCGCTTTAAGATTGGAATTTGTATCATAAATTTCAAGTGTAATATGTGCTTTGCGGATGTAAGAAGCTTGATGCGACAACTAAGTGCAGGCATGAAAACTCTGCTATATCTTTGCATAACTTTGATGGCTGAAGAAAATAGTACAGTTTAAGCAGTCTCCGGGTAAACATTGCTTACATCTATGTGCGTATTCCGACTTATTCTATTAGAGCAAGGCGGGCTCAATATGATCGTTCGATGAGGTTATGTAGATGACATGCCACCATATTTGTGAACAACTCTAATCTGCTTAACATCTATTAACTGGTAAATAAAAGAATGAAGGCTGAACAAATACGTCATCATTTTGTGTGGTGCGGATGCTTTGATTCATAGAAGTACAGAGCCCGCGAAAATGGTGGGAAAATGCTAATTGCTGATATTCGTTGAAATAAACACCATTAAATTACCACTCTCACCAATGGAGAGTGATCGAATGCGCTTTGCTTGTTAAACTGAAATCTTTATATTCTATCTAGCAGCAAATAGATGAAGAAAATATCTCCTTTACATGCGGCATATTAAGCACGCTAGTACATAAGTATTTTAGCGCACAAATTAATAAGTAAAAGCAGTATGACCTTCACAGATCGACTTTTGTATGTTTTCCAGTAGATTATCATCCTACCATCATGTGGAGACTAGCAAGCAGCGCTTTTTCATGCATTTAACGAGGTTGGAGGTTTCTTCATGGAAATCCAAGATGCCCTGATCACCACTACGATCTATGTTATGTATTGTACTGCTTCCTTGACGCATCAACAGCCCTTACCGGAACTTCGCACAATAGTTCGACCGGGTTTAAGTCGGTAAGCTCTGCGGAAAACTACCTTACATCGTCGTGCTGGTTTTAAAAAATCATTTGCACCTTCAACGCTTTCAATGGATGCATTCTCCTGCTAAAACTTGATTTCCAGAATGTGCATTAAACGCGTAAATGGAAATAAGGCCTGTACTCGTGTGTTAATATGAACTTCTGCAATATGCTTGCCTCCAGAATACCATACAAGCACATTTCCACCGCCATTCTGTCGGCTTGAAAACCCTATTTCTGAAATCCATCTGGTCCGTTCAAAAAGATTTCAATAGTTCGAAAAAATCACAGAGCCTCACTCGTTATCATAAGCCACGTTCACAATGTCCCATCGGACGCCTGCATTTCTGAGTCGGTCTAAGAGAACTGGATACTCCACTCTATCCTCGTGGTGCAGATTTAGCGCTTCATAAAGCAGCTCACGCACTCTTCGCACGAACACAGATAGATGCAGAGCGTTCTAATGCGTGTTGGTGCTGTCACAAGTCTTGAAGACCCCCCACAAGCAGTCTCTATGGGCCTTACTTGCCAGTTATTCGGTCTATTAAAGATTTTAATCGTGCATAGGCGGCGTGGTCACTCAAAATCGTTTTACAGAAATGCGGGGGCGCCCAATTTTCTTGCGGTATGCTTAGCTTCGCGTATTGTTCATCGTATAAAAGAATTTAGCTGCGCTTTAATTACGTAAGAAATCCACCTCGGCTCATCCAAACCTCCCTTCCACAGATATTGCGCAATCACGATATAATACTTGTTAAGAAAGCATTTGTAGCAGACGAAGACCCTTAGTACAATCTATAAGCTAGTACTTCTCTTTGCAGCAGCACGTACGTATACCTGACTTATCTTTGTTGCGCCATTGGTATGCCGCGCGCAGAATGTTTCCCCGATTGCTTTACTTCTATAAACAAAATGTTTTGTAGCGAATCAAACAATTCGCCTTCAAATCTTTTCATTGGTGGTGGGTGCTAAAATAGCGATGAATATCCACGAAAACTTAATTAGTCATATCAGTTCCGCGAGCACCGTATCAACGCTCCAATGTTAAGCAAATTATCTGTGTTGTATTGCAAGAGCGCACTACTTCACTAAGCTTATGAAAGACAAATAGAAATTGTCTTTTATTTCTACTTGTTGAGGATCAACATTTCGATGACGTCAAGTTCATAGTCTACCCGTTCGCGAAGATTTAACTGTTCGGTTTCGTTAAGACACTACACGGTAGCAACAGCGGATAATACAAGCATCGCAAGGTGATAACGCTGTACTGAAAGGAAATGCATAGGTAGAGCAACACCGTCTTACTATCCCGATCCGGGAGAAGTCTGTAACGGGGCACCATTTGTATGGGTGCCACGAAACTTCACGTACACTAGTACGTGCAGAGGAAGGTAATTTACCTGAACGACTCGGTCAAGTAAAGGTAATAAGAGAACTGTATTCAACATAGCTAAGCTATCAATTTAACTTGAATATAAATATAACAAAATAAAATACATTGTCGTATGACGACATCCTGCTCACCACTCATTACGCGCGTCTAGCAGCGATTGGTGGCAATCTATGGTTGGTATGTCTTTTATCAACCAGTCTTTGAGCAGCGCATTAATATTATCTAAAAAGGGTAATATTCCTTCAATGTTATCTATCTCGGATTATATGGGTAGAATATTGTCATGCTAAACAATATTCCGATTGACACCGTTTGGTGTCAATTTCATGTAACGGGCTACCCCGTTACATCACCCCCCCTCTTAACAACCAATCACCCGTTGATTAAATCAGCACTGATTGAGACAGGGTGACCACCGTAGGATCAATTGGGAAAGGGATCACTTGTTGGTCAAATTCCATTCATTTGCCAATCCAATGCATAATTTCCAAAATCACGCGAGCTGCTACTGCAGCAGCAAGAAGAGCGGCTAAACACATGCGTGCGGCCGCGGAGAGTGCCTCTCGCGCCTCAGCAGCAGGCGGTTTTTCGCCTGTTGTCGTGGATCCTCCACGTGGTGAGTCACAACGTGCGACAGGTACATCCGTTGCGTCTGCAGCGGGTACCTCGAATCGTAATCAAGACGAGTCTGAGATAGAGCTCATCTATTCCGGCGAGTCGGATGATGCATCCGACTCGATGGCGACTCCTCACACCTCGGGATCACCCGGGACGGACGCTGCAAAAGCCAGGCTGACTGGCTCTGGTCAGCGCGGCAGTATCATGACCGAAATCTTCGGATCGTTGGTTGTTCCGAAGAATCTCCGTCCCATGCAAGTCCATCCAACGACAGGACGCGTGGGGATGGTGGTGGTGCACCTATACATCACCACGAGCGAAGTAATTCAAGGGATTAAGCTACCACTGGTGCCAGTGCTCTTGCTGGATCTAATCAAGAGGCCAGAAACCGAAATGTCCTGCGCCACGCCCCTCAAGTGGAGTCACTTTAAATGCCATCATCCAAGGAGTTGGATCAAGTGATCGCCATGACCAACAAACGGGACCGAATCCCGTTGTACGAATGTAGGAGGACCTGTCCTCCATATTCCAGCACGTAAACTATCCGTGCTGAGGAAGAATTCTTCACCGATGCGTTTTATAAACATCGGTGGTACAATGGCAGCCGTGTTCGAGACGGTAAGGCCTTGGTGCAAGGATGGAATGCCCTTATCCATAACATCGAGTGCATTGGCCGTGAGGCCTGGCTTGGTAAACTTGATGCGGCTTGCACCAGGTTTGAGAAGCGCAACCCAGCAGGGAGCAATACAAGTTGCAGCTGCTGTCAAGAGAGGCAGGATTGCCCTGTCTCTCGTGGGGTGATTCGTGTCCAGGTTGTCTGGACAAATCGAACCGTGCCCCTAGGGAGGCCTACCTCCCTAATGATCCCTACTGGGGGCGCGCATCTCTTTCGAGATGGCTGAAGGGATTGACACCTTGCAATTCCTGTACTCGCGTTCGGGGAGGTCATTTTCCGACGGCCCTTCTTCGAACGCAGCGAATGGGTCTCGTTATTTTGCTCAACGAGACCCAGAAAATCAACAAGCAGCTGTGCACGAGGCTCCTAGCTGTCCCACGCCGGTAAACAGCCACGCCAGCGGACGAGGTAACTCGTCCGGACGCTCTTCTCGTCGCGATGGTTACAAATACGATCCACTAGAATGCGTTGACTACCGCCTGAGTCCACCAAAGGATGTGGTTGTGGCGGGAACACCTGATCCGGCTTGAGGATCGGATCAGCTTGATGTTCAGGAACTGAACCGTGTAACGGAACAGCTGCAAGTTGACCTGGCTCATGAAAGGTCTCGGCGTTACGAGCTCCATGACCTTGTAAAGGATCGTTACAATTTCCTAGCGCACGATCATCCGAAAGATCGTGCCGCTTTTGCGTTCGCAAAATACGTGAACGAACTTTCTACTCGTTCTCTTGGTGACGAGCTGGCTGTAGCTCGTCGAGGCATCGCTCAACTGTGTGAGCAGGTCGCTTCGCTAGTAGACCATACCGGTTCGTAGAAACGGGACCACTCGAAGGTGTTCTCGGCTCTCGACCGCGGGGGTGTTCTTCGCATCTCGAAACGGGCTCGTACTGATATAACGGGCGGAGACGATCAACGTAAAACGTAGGATGCGTACGCATCTTACGGGGCAGTTTAATCGTGTACGCGTTGCCCATTCGGCGCAACACACGCATTGGACCAATGTAATCGGCAGTAATTAACTGCTGCCCACGGTTGTCACTGCGTGTTTCGGTAGGTTTACTGTAGACAGTAAAACTAGGTCTACATCATCGAATTAAAAAAAAACATTTGCTCTTCCATGTGTGTCTGTGTTTCTTTTCTGTTTGTCCAGTGCATCTGCAATAGAGTCTCGAACGAAGCGGACAACCGCTTCACGAGTCAGCAGAAATTCCTCTGTTACTTCATCCTTTTTAACAGTAGTGCGCTTTGTGTGCACTGTTGAAAGAACGTTGTCTTCACCAGTGAAAGAGTTATCGTCCTCACTGTGGTAGTCGTTGGCGATGCTGAATATACAAACATCGTCGTCATCAAGTCATCGATGTCGATCGCATCGTCATCGGCATCCGTCAGGTCAACACCATTGTCGACGGGTGATGAGCAAGAACCAGATCGGGTTTTGTTCGAGCGAGTCCACCCCCTCCCTTAAACTAGATTTACACTCTTAAGTAGGCGGGTAAACGTGGATGGCGTAGGCCATTCACGAAGAAAGTTGTATGGGTTGTCGACGCATGCACCGAGTTTTTGATGGGAATTCCGCCATCGGCAAGAACTCACTCCAACTCGACAAAGAGTGGACGTACCCTCGAAGTATCTCTTCGAGGACACGATTGTCTCGTTCCGTCTGACCATCTGACTCTGGATTATCAGATGTCTACATCTTCAAACGTGTTTCAAGTGAACGGAACACGGATTGCCAGAACTCTGCCGTAAAGCGGTGGTCCCTATCAGACACGAGTTCACGTGGTAACCCGAGAAGTCGGAAGAAAGTATCGAAGGAGACACGCGCACAGCCCTAGGCTGTGATTGACTTTGGTACAGCAACAAGAGATACCATCTTGCCGAAACGATCAACAAACACAAGAATACCAGCATTCATGTGAGCGTATTTGGGATTCCCGAAGACGAAGTCCATCGATACGTACTGCCAACACTCTGCCGGAATCGGCAGGGTCTGCAAGGGTGCGCGGGATGAAGGACTAGGCTTCAACCTTTGACAAACTTCGCAAGCGCGAATGTATTTGCGCACAAACTCATACTGGTAGGGCCAGTAGAATTCACGACTTACCATGAGGCAAGTCTTTTCTCTACCGCGATGCCCACTTGTTGAGTATCGTGACACTCATACATGATGCGCAATTTAAAATCATTAAGCGCCGGAACGACGACACGAGGCATGTCGCCGTTGACTGCTGTATAGTACAGCAGTCCATCACGAACCGAATACCATTCGGTTGAAGAGTGGTATTGAGCCGACAAGCTTTTCAAAGCTTGACTCCATGGATTAGACACATAATCCATTAGCCGCAGAAAAGACTCATCTTCTGCGTATGCTTTCCGCACGTCATCGAGCAGATTCGACGACGAAACACTCACTGATAGTGTCGCTACAGTGGAATCACCCCTACTGTTGGGTTGAGCGGTCGGCTCGAAATCGGGCTGACGCGAAAGAGCATCAGCGACGTCATTGAATCGTCCTGGTTTATACTCGACGAAAAAGTTGTACTCCGCGAAGAAAGACATCCACCTCGCCATTCGTTGCAAGAGGTGTGGACTGTTTACGGCCTTGCGTAAAGACGCATGGTCGGTATAAACGATAAAGGGCCTATCTCCTGAGAGATATACCCCAAACCTGGCCAATGCATATTTCACTACAAGGAGTTCCTTGTCATGCACCGGATAATTTCGCTCAGCTGCTTGCAGATGACGCGATTGATAACAGACGATGCTCAACGCCGTCTGAATCGTACTGCATCAATGTATAGCCGATTGCGAAATCGCTGGCGTCACAGACCACATAAAATTGTCTATCCTGGTCTAAAATCGCCAGCGCTGGCGATTGCACCAAGCTTTTCTTGATACCTTCACAAGAGTGCTGACACTCAGTGCTACATGACCATTTCTCTTTTTTCTGTAGCAGACGAGAGAGATGTACGGTCATCTCGGCATAGTTACGCGGGTATTCGTGCAAGTGAGCCGCCAAGCCAATAAACTTTCAAAGTACCTTGACATCGACTGTCACAGGCTAGTCGCTAATCGCCTTGATCTTTTCCGGATCAGGGCGTACACCATTTTTACCCACGATGCAGCTAAGAAGTGGTATTTTTTTGCTGCTAATACGCACTTCTTGAGGTTCGCGAATAACTTATGCTCACGCATAAGTGTAAAACCCTTCTGGGCATGTCTTTTATGATCCTCCACGTCCATCTTTCCATCCATAGCCCGCTATGGGCGAAGACATCGTCAAATTAACTCGGTGCGAAATCACGCACCTATCGCAACAGGTTCGCAACACATCAGTTAAACGTTGCGAGGGCGTTACTTAGCCCCTGTGGCTACACTAGCCACTCCAAGAGCATACTACTGGGGGTTCTCACTGCTGTGTACGGGATATCCCGCTCACGCATGAGGATCTGATAGAATCCATCCCTCAGATCCATGGACGAAAAGAAGGTACTCTTTGCCATACCATCTATGATGGCGTCCTTCCTTGATATCGGCGTTCGAGCCGGTACCGTTGCAGCATTCAGTTTGTTGAGCGCGTGCACTATCCGCCACCCTCCTGTTGCTTTTCGCACACAGAAGGTCGGAGAGCTGTATGGGGATGTTAATTCCGTCACATGACCAGCAGCTAAACGATCGGCAAAAAATTGTCGATCGCTGTGACCTGTTCAAGAGGTAGTGGATACTGCTTCATGACGCAGTGCTTCGAACCGGGTTTCAGTTCGATCTCATGCCGAGTGCCTTTGTCCTTGGGCTTCTCGCAAGGCACGGATTCAGGGAAAACAACTCTAAATTCGTACCGATCCTTATATTAAGGATTTGTCTTCAAAGAGTCCTAGGATTGGGACGTTTATCTCTCAATTCAGGTCTTCATCGAGGACACTCTCATCCATCGATGAGCTACTGAGAACCTGTTCGTTCTCAGCAAACACTTGTGCCGACCGAATATCGGCGACGTATTCGTCCTCTGTGACGAGTACGCAGATCTGCTTGATCTTGTCACTACGCAGATCTCGCAAAATCTTTCAGATTCTAGCGTGGGCAACTTGATTAGCTCCGAAGCTGACTTCGGAGGTTAAACCAGATCAAGTGTATAAGCGCCTACACTTGATCCGTCATTCATAAAGACATTCCCTGTCTCGGTGCTTTCCTGGGTAAGCACATCCGCAGGTGGTTGGGGATCTACACCCTCAACATAGCTCTCCTGGGAGTTGTCACTTTCAGGAACGCTGGAGCTTTCTTCCAATACGTGTACTGACTGTGTGTGCACTACCACAGTCACGTCCTCTTCGATCGACTCTCTATCAGTCGATCGGGCTTGCTTTACGATAGACTCTCTGATAGTTGATCTCGCTTCAACGTGTTGTTCATCCTGAACAACACTAATTTCTCGTCTTGAATTCACCCTTCTTGGTGTGCATCCGCGTTCCGGTCCACTCGATCTTTTTGAGTGGTGAACCTTCGGCGCAGCTTGTGTCTCTACACAGGTGCCGGAAGCTGGTTCCACAGTGTAGTGGTCTTCTACACTGTGATCTTGTACAGTCATACTAACGACCGAAAAACAAGTGAGGCCATCGAACTCACTCGTAGTACATCCCCACGCTTGTGGACGATCCAAGACGTTCACCAGATGGCCATCTGATGAACCAACTGCAGGCATCTTCACGGATCGATGCTGCCAGCTAACCCATGGCTGGTACTTTCTAAGCCATGTCAGACCGATGATGATATCAAATTTGTCATCCAAATCTAATACGATGAAGTCATCATCGTACTTCTTTCCTTCTAGCGTGTAGTGGATTTTTACTACATGTTTGTTCACTGTTACGGATGCGCCTGTAGCAAGGCACACCGTCATCCTCATTGGAGGGAACTCTCGCTCAACATTGTTGAGTCTACTATCTTCTTGCAACTGGCGTCGAATAAAACTGTTCGACGCCCCACAATCAACTAGGGCGCAAAGTGACATTCCACTTGTCACTTCGATCTTCAGAGTGATGAGAGACTTCTCATCACTAGGGGCAGTAACACACAGCGGCTGTGTGTTGGGAGTAATCTTCGTCAAGAGTCCTGCAAACTCTCTTGACGTTGCTGGATCAACATGGTGCTCTGCCTCTACTAACCCTGTCCGTGTTTTTGCGTTCCGACTTGCTGTCGCGGCTTAGCGACATGGTCTGACCCACGCCTTGGACCTTTCCTTGACCAATGGTGGTCATAACTTCTTGTTTTGGACGTGTTGCGATGCTTGGGACACTACACTCATTAGCGTAGTGTCCAATCTTTTGAAAGCGATGGCATCTTGCCGTTTGCTTGTGACTCAGAGTGCGAGAATTCTCACTCTCGATGTTACAGAGGTCCATTGGTTCGGGACCTCCTGTTTCCTGTCGTCTCGTCGGACGATATCTCGACAAGTTATCCTGAGACTGTCTCAGTCTAAAGTCTTCTTGTTCCGCATACGCTATCGCCCTTTCCAGCGAATAGAAGTCCTCTCGAAACATGTAGGTCTTCACCGGCCCATCTACAAGACTGTAGATTAACACGCTCGTGAGCACACGCTCATCAACAGGGTTTTCCGTAACGCTACTCGCAAGGTAGATCAGGTGTTGTGCGTAAGCGTGCACATAACGCTTACCTTGGTTTAGCCTCAAGAGTGCAGAGCGTGCTCTGTACTCGGCTCTCGGCGGCTCAAACGTTTTTTTAATCCGAGACTTAAAGATCTCCAATGACTCAAAAACGTTTGGGTCGTGAAGCTTGAGCCGTAAGGACCAAGTCTTTGCTCGTCCCGTCAAATTTGACAGGGCAAAGGTGACTTGCACCTTGTCACCCTCGATGTGACGGGCCCTGATGGTATCGTCTAACTCGACGAACCATCTCAAAAAGAAATCTTCATCAGTTCCCTTGTACCTTGAGATGTCTATCTTCAAGGTTTCGGCTCGACACATGCGCGTCGGCCCACCCATCGACTGATGAGAGCCTTGCCGCTGTAGCAAGGATGTCTTCTATCTTTCAACGGCAAGTCCCCTTGTAGGAACTTGTTGATAGCAGCATGTTGATTGTCTCTGCTTAGGAACTCCAACATGCCACTGATGGCGGGTTCGCCCATGAGCACACTCATGCGGCCGACTACCTCCCACTTTGAGTCACTCAGATGGGAGTAGCCTTCACGTGTGACGTGAAAGCTGTCGTCTTTTACGTCCAACATGGTCATGTTGGACGGACACTAAGTTGGACGGACTACAAAGTGCTAGCAGGTGTAACGGGGCACCCTTTGTTTGGGTCGCCACGAAAATTTACGCACGCTAGTACGTGCAGAGGAAGCTAGTCTACTTAACGGCTGAGCTGAGTAAAGTGTAAAAAGAGACCTGTACTTAATTTGTGGCTGATTAGGCGTAAACCCCCTAAAAAGTGCGCGCACCCCCCCCCGTGTGTGTAATCGACTAATCGTTCTGTTTACCCTCTCTTTTTTTTAAAACAAGGTTTATTTTTCTCTCGCGCTGACCAGCAACCGAGAGTTAGCGCGCGAATAAGCCACAAGGGACCATCACTCTCTTTTCCATTGTGTTATAGCCACAGCATGAACAGCGACGACGCGGCCACGCGCGCAGCCAAGCGCAAGCACGCCACCTCGGGCGGCCGCAAGCTGCTGCGCTGGGACGCCGCGCGCTGGCAGCTGTTCGAGCGCACGCTGCCGTACACGACGCGCCTCAAGAGCGCGCCGCTTTTACACCTGCGCGCCTCGCTCGCGTTTATGTTCGTGAGATGCTGTCCCGTCTGCGCCGTGGCCCGTGCTTACGCTCTCGTGTGTCTCTCTTTTTCTGTGCTGTTGTCCATTAGCTAATAGATCCATACTTCCAGTCGAAAGAGTCACGCGCCGTCGGTGGTGATGGAGCAACCGATTGTCGGCACGCGCTCGGGGTCTGTAGTGAATCTGGGGCTCGTGATTGACGCGACAGGCAGCGACACGTGTCTGCACGATGTCAAGTGGTTGCGGTTGTAATTATGCTGTGGGGGTGATGGTGAGGGAATGGGAGTATTGACTGGACAAGTGTATGGACTGGCAGGGAGTTGGACGGATTAAATGTTCAGTATGCCAATCTGAAGGTTTATGGGAGTGAAGGTAAGAGATCTTTTCAAATGTTTTGGCATGGTAGGCTGTGGGCGTCACGTTTGAATGGTGTCACTGGATTGTTGTATGTGGGTCCGGAGGTGCACGACAATAGGTTGGCACAAGCATTTCGCAAGACGCTATTCGGCCACTTAAAAAGCGATGGAGAGGACATGTATAAGTTGTTTTTGGGACGGATGGCTAAAACTTTGTGAAGTTTCTCGTTGTGCGGTGAGTGATGACATTGTTAGCGTTGAATGGAGATACTCATGGGGTAAAATTGTGGTGCTGATAGCTTTTTGGTCGAGCATTGCGGCCTGAATCTCGACGCTGCGGTTGGAGAAGTTGCAGTATCAACTTTGCCTGGTACCTACATGAGGCATTACCTGACGGTGAGTGGGTGTTTGAGCTATGTGGGAGGGCCGGATGATATGATACTAAATTGTGCTGTTTTTGTATTTTATATCGCAACATACTCCGGAAGCGCGACAGCGAATTAACCACTGTCTTTGAGTTTGTAAGGACCACGGTGTCATTTACGCCCCTTCGGATGCTCCGTATAATCTTGGCGGCTTCGAGTGTGAGGAGCCAATTATTAAGTTCGTTGCTAGCGAAGGCAGCGCCATCCCTGGTGAAGATGGAAGCATTTCAGAGCAGCGACTGGTTCAGTACATTGAATATATCTATAGATTACTGAGTTCAGCGCTGCGCAACGTCAATTTTTAGCCACGAAATGGGAACTGAGATAAACACTTTAAAGAGGATTTTTTTTACGAAAGGCGCGTATTCAGGTGTCAGGCCGTGTATTGCATACGAGACAGCATGACGTGTGGTGCATTTGGATTGGTACGCCCCCTCATAACTGTGCGCACACCCCCTGCACGTGACGCGACGAAATTCAAGTCCTCACGTGACGTATCCAAAAGTAGTTGCAACCTGACCGGGAAAAGCGTGTTCGTGTTCCGAATGTGAAATACGCATAGTAAAATCTACTCAATGCATTTGCATTTTATACTCTGCTAGCTGTTTTCGATCTCAAGATAGGACAAATGCGCCTGTCACGTCCTTCCTCTCGACAATCTGGATGCCCGTATCTTCGCTGAGCTCGCTCTCTAGCTTCCACTAACTCAAAAGCAGAAGTATTACGCCTTGTGCTACTAACCGCCACCGCACCCACAGGTATGCCTCTAGTCCGCACAACCCCAGGATTTTGCACTGGTGTGAGCGGCTGTTTGGAGAGCTCTAAAATTCTTTCCTCTAAAAGACGGTGCTGGTGTGGGGGGAGAGTTTTGTGTTGAGATTGCAGCTGTGTCAATGCATCTGCAAAATCTGTAATCGCATCTGCAGAGGTACCACTGTCATTGCTCTCAGGCTCTTGAGGTTTTACAAGCCATCAGTGCCTGTGGAACTAGTCGGCCCCCAACGAAAAATCGTTACCAAATTAAACGGTTGAGTTCGTAGGAGCAAGGAAGACCCGTCGTACTTCGAAAGATGCTGGAGCAGGTGGAGTCGCCAGCCAGGTGTTTAGCTTTCTGGAACTGTTCATACACCTTGTTCAAAGCATAGTGTGATATCTTCCGCTTGACATCCTTCCAAATGTTGTGAGAGAAGGCGAGCATGGAATGCGTCTTGTTCAGGATAATCTGTTGACGGATGTGATGTTCTTGAGAGTCGATCGAGAGGGAGATCTTCTCGTAGGCATCTTTGAGATCTACTGAAGAGACACTGATTCGTCCTTTTATCGAATAATGGTTTTTTCAGCGCGAGATGTAGCCAAGTGACCAAGATGCAAGACTAGCTTGGTGAATGCGGTGACGAACTTTTCCTTGTGTACGACCCGTGTGCTCCTCAGGTATTCTACGGTCTGTCCGTACTCGCAGTAGGAGATTCGCAGATCTTTCCAATCAGCGATAAACATCTTCACATCTATCGAAGCTAACAGAAGGTGCCAGTCTGCCAGAAACCGTTCACACCCTTCATTGGTTCGGAAATGTTTCTTTGGTTGGCGAAAATGTTCTTTTCGATGTGCCACATGCAGAGAAGATTAAAAGCATCTCCGAGAATAATTTAGATAGCTGACATTAAGGCCAGCCCTCGATCAGTAACCACCACCCAAGGCAGGCGGTTTAAGAGAAACGCTCCTTTCACGCGTATCAAGCCCAAACATAGTCCTCTTCTGTCTCTACGCTCACAAAGCAAAAGCATATGGAGAATGTAGCATTGGTGCTGGTCATGCCGACAACGTAGAGAAGTGGGAGCTTGAACCAAGTAGACAAATGTTATGTTAGAGACTTGTATAATGCAGACTGCAAGGTGTGAAGCTCATCACCTGTTAGTCTTGTACGTAGATTCCATTAATACAACGTCGGGAAACTCTCTGGCTCGATCAACAGCACTTGGCATAGCGAAGAAGAGGCGTGTGATTCGACCCTCATCTTCTTTTGCACAGTCATGCATGACCTCTTTTTCCTGCAGCTCGTCTAGCAGGGCCTCCAGAGGTGTACGGCCGTTCAAATCTTCTTGTCGAAACCGGGCTTTAGCATTGGAGATGTCATTACTGGTGAGGTTGATTTGCGGATCTTGTTGCCGTAAGGTCGTAAGGATAACTTTGGGGGCTACACCGGCCTTGGACATCTGTTGTATGACCTGTCGCGCTTGATCTGTGACTTTACGTGCGCTGGGCAAGGCTGACATATCGGCTGTTTCCTCATGGTTGTGAGAACCCTCTTTTACCTTGACCCGCCACATCCATCCCTCTGCAGTCAATTCTCTTTTGATAGTGACGCTCCAGGGGAATTTAATGCATCTGCTGCTGGTATTTCTCTTCCTATTTTCTACAGTGAGATATTCGCGACGGTTCCTGTACTCTAGGCCGTGCGAGCATTGAAGCCAGACCTTGCGTGTTTCGCCGCTTTTGAAGGGTTTTGAGCGAGTCCGTCCCCCCATAGCGTAGACTTGATCAAGTACAAACCACTCTACTGCCAACTAGGCATCAACAAGAGAAGGATAAGTATGCTCGGATGGTGGTGCTAGCATTGCCGGAAGAGCAAGGAACAGAGAGATAATATGATCGGATGAAAAATAGCTCGCATTTAGTTGAAGAAAAAAATTCGACATCACGGGGGGGTGCGCGCAGTTATTAGGGGGTGTACGCCTAGGCGGTCCCTTTAATATAGTTAAGTTATTAATATAACATTAATCTTTAACTATCTTAAACTACGTCGTCGTATGACGACAACCTGCTCACCACTCATTGCGCGCGTCTAGCCGCGTTTGGTGGCAATCTATGGTTGATATGTCTTTTATCAACCAATCCTTGAGCAGGGCATGAATATTATCTAAAATGGATAATATCCCTTCAATATTGTCCATCTCGGATAATATTGGTAGAATATTGTCATGCTAGACAATATTCCTATTGACACCGTTTGGTGTCAGTATCATGTAACGGGCTACCCCATTACAAAGTCACTGCACTTATGGCAGGACCTATAAAGGATGTGGATTTTTATAATTCGAATCAACTGTGCTAGTTGTATTAGCAAAAATTCTCACCAGATTATTGATAGTTTTATAAAGCGGTTTAGGAATGTGCCATGCGCTGTCAACGTGTCGAGAACACCCCACGGATTCGGCTAGAAGATGCCTTCCAGAGAGAGGTGCATTGAGCACGTGCGATTTGGATTCATTTCCTGCTTTTAGGAGTAAAAAATCTGATTCGACTGACGAGGTGTTTGCAAAGCAGTCTACGGACCACCGCAGAACGAACATACAAAATCGAAACGACCGCACAGCGACATCGTCGCTCCTCGTCAAAAATATAACAACCAGACAACTACTTCTCAGTGCTCAAAATGGAAAGTAGCATTAAGCGTTAAGACTACTGCTATAATGCAAATATAAATCCCCTCATAAAGTGACCGCTCATCCAGAAAATTCGAAGAGCCCTGTCCCTGTTGCTATAAACGACACACAATTCATGTCGTGCTACGTAAACCTCAGCAAAAAAACGGGTTCACGTTGCGCTTGTCGATGACGGCGCGCAACTCTTCGTCTTCATCGTAACTTTTGCAAAGCAGCCTGTGGTCTGATTCGACCTCGTCGATTCCCTCCTCCGTTCATCTTTTCACAATAAGCTCACGGTGAGGCGCCAGAACGTCTTTGACGAACATTCGCGGCGAAAGATTAACGAGCTGCGCAGGCAGCACCAGCGATGCACCTTGCGCGCGAGGCAAATTGCTGGCGTCACGGTCTGCCCGCAAGCTCTGCAGGCCGAGCACCAGGTTTTTGCGTAGGTAGAGAACTCGCGTACAACGTCTGGCTTCTTGTCGTCGCTCAGCGTCGCCAATAGCTGTGTTACCCACAAGCCCTGATCCTCGATGCGAGCGACAATTTTTGCACAGGCGATGCGCATGCCACCGTTGACAAATGATCATCCAACATCCCACCGCTTGAGACAATGCTGAATATCGCGACAGGCGATCTAATTAAATTGACAATGCGCTCGTTCTGCTGAGCTATCAGGTGCGCCTTGTTCTGCAGTACAACAATTGTCTTGTTGACAATGCTAATGGCAGAAGACGCAGAGTACGTCATGATCCACCAGAACGGCGACGGCGGGACGAATTTCTGATGATCATCAGCGTAGTTGGTCAGTCTTCCCCGTTATGTGATAAAAAAGATCAGCCCGATGACATTCTGGAAACAGCGAGTAGTCAGCTTCGGGCACTTGACATTCATATCGGTGATCAAGCTGTTCTGAGCATGCAGAAGGACGCTGAACGCGTGAACTTTGGTGATCCATTCGACTTGAAACACATTGGCGGACGAGTGCTTCATTTCCAAATCAATTTGGTGAGGCGCGCACCAAATGCGAAGGACAGAATGCTCAGCTGCAGCTCAAAATCGAGCGACCAAGCCGGCAGGGCGGCCAGTCATTGCGCTCTCGCCGTCCGAAGCGACGCAAAGCAATTTACCACGCCACGATCCGTACAACGCGTCCATAAACTTGCTGACCGTATCAAATACTATCCACGGTGAATGCATGTCGGTCATTTGGATGGCGACGTGGTGCAAGTTTACCAGGACGCCACGGTAGCAGAATCGTAAACGCATGTCAAAGAACGACTGGCCGCGATGCGTTCTACCATCACACGCGAACGAATACCCAGACGGACGCGTCACTTATGAAGTCCGCAACTTGTTGCATGTTTGACACGACAAGGGTGCGAAATGAACTTGCCGACCATCAAACTGTAAACGCCTGCGAGCTTCGGCGTATGCGTAGGTCGCTTGGCGTGTTTGATTACCATGAACGCTTGCCTGAATGAAACATGTCGCTTCCAACGCTTTCCAATGCGAGTTCGTAACGAATCACATTCTTGATAGTAATGACGTACTTCTCAGTCTCCGAGTCCTTGACGAACAGCTTCATCGCATGCGCCTTCTCGCTGGACTTCTTAGCCATTTTTTGGCTACTGTCTTTGCTGCGTCAGAAGCCACGAGGTCGTCTTCATCGTCGCATTCAGCATTTTCCAGCATTTCGTCGTTCCTAAAGAACACGTCGCCGATGATGGTCGAGACGATTGGCGGCAAAACTTCGAATTCCATAGTTTCGTCTTCAATTTCGAGGTAATGATGCAATGTGTTCGCGATCCTCGTCTTCCCAGCTAATTATTCGCCCTTCTCCACGTTACACAGCTCGCTGTACTCTGTACAGGCCTCGCCATGCTGCGTCATACTGTGGCTGCTATAATCTACCGCGCGAACGGTTTCGTGTAGTATTTAATGTCAAAGTGCGACTTACGCTTGCGACCAGTTTATCCTCCGGCCTCAACGTTGTCACGCCTGTCATAGATGCAGAACAGGCATTTAGCATTTTGTGCGCCGCTCTTTTCGTATTGATGAGCTCGAGTCCGAACTTTAGCGCATGCTTTTAGGAACGTCGTCGTCTCGGGCGCCATTGGAGCACTTTTGCTGCACAAAATCACGCTTTTGCGTAGTTTCACAGCAATTTGTAAAGGGTTCAGTTTACAGACCAGAAAAATCTTTGTTTATGAAAATCCGAGTCAATTCTATTATTTTCTACGATTTTATTAGGCCTGAATTAAGGTCCTGACAATGACATGGTATGCAAGATTCACGTTAAGAATTAACTAGTTTCCACGGCTCAACAGGGTTATTAAGTTATGAGTACCACAATCATCCACACTTCGTACCCGTCACGCGCTACTACCCAGTACAACTACACTATATGTATGCGTGACAGTACAAAGGCAAAATTAATTTACCGTGAGAACGACTTGTATAAAGAGAGTTGATAATTTACATAAGAACTCGTGCTCTACCTACTCTTCTCTAACAAAGCGCCCCGCACCACACATACCCCCGTGACGTTATGTTCCGTCCACCACCAGAGCGGCAGCGGTCAAATTGCAGTTTCTTTTCCTGGCAATCTCACTTTAACTTGTCCTCTAACATTTAATTTCTTACAACAAATGTAATAAGGCCTACGCTCGTTTATTAAATACCAGGATCACGTAAAGCTTACCGATTTCATCTTATGAAGAGATCTATTGCGTTTTTAATGATTGAAGATGAGATCTTAATGAGAAGGTGTCTTCGACGAAGATAAATATCTCCGATATGAGTTAAAAACTGATCATCTGACATTGTTAAAATGGATTGAAAAAGGAATGCTGTCGAGTTGGTAAAAGGAAAAGTGAGGTAGTTGTTAAAGAATGCGCCAAAGCATACTGATTTTCACTGCCTGACTACCTTAGTGTTTTGTTCTGCGTCATAGTCATTCGTCTCTATTTGAATGATTCCAGACGTTGCAGCTTACGCTGGAATGATGAACCAATCGATAATACATATCAATCCATGCTTTTTGTGGATGTGCTGAGATCAGGCACGTTCAGACAAGACCAACCATAAAGATACAAAGGACTAAGGCCATTTACCCGTATTACTAAGAGTTATGACGATAACTAGGAGAAGCCACATAGTTAAATGCAGAATAACGCGAAAATACGATCTAGTTCGTTTTTAGAAGAAGTGGGGACCACAGCGTTCAATTTAAAAACCCATTCACAGACACTTGTAGACAATATGTCATCACTTGCAAGAGCGAGACGACTTTGATGCAATAACAAGGATAGGTGCATGTTACCTGGTGATTATCCAAGCAAAGAGGCTAAATGAAAGAACGCAGTTGACTAATGAATCAATTCCAATGTACAAGATGTGGGGGAAATACTACAAGGGCAGGAAAGGGACCGATTCGCAGATGAATTTTACTAACCATGAAAAAAAGAATCAAAAAAGTGATCAAGGTACCTCTGATGTCAAGTGTAACATGACAAAATTATAGCATCGAATAAAATGAGATGTTTGCTTCACTTGCTAAGCTCACGCCAACGAAGTGCGTTCTTAGTCTGGTAGCGAAAGTTAACCTCTCCATTCTCAATATAGATATAAAAAGGCTTCTTAATGGCGAGATGGATGAAAAACTTTCATGGCTAAACTATATGACTATTCTCACCAATGCTATACGTGAAGCAAATATTTAAAATGATCTACATGTGGAGTAAAGCAAGGGCCACGCATTTGGAACGAGAACATCGACCAATACATGCTCTGGTCCGGACATGAAGCGTGAAAGTCTACTTACTGCATCTACGTCATGCTTGCCAACAGATTAAATTTTTTGGAATACATAAAGATAAAGAAAATGAGTAAAAAGTACTAAATAATAGTTTCAAACACCGTTGAACTTAATTACTGTAGATTGGCTTATAGTGCAGATTTTAAATTAGTGTAATTAACACGAGTGCTGGTATAGCACCTGGAGAGCATAGCAGAAATTGTGGGGATTTTAAATGATGTGGATATTCAGAACCCCTAGTCCTAACCACAACCCCTGCGAACATAATCTATGTGTATCATCCCACTGTCATTCCACGACCCACTGACCGCGCTGCCCCCCCTTTGTCCCTTACCTCCCCCATAAACCCTAAAAGGCTTCCTGCTTCCCCCTGCTCGTCGTCCGACACCTCCGCGGGCTCTAGCACCAATCAGGTGATGATCTTGATAAAACGTCGAGGCCACCGCCTCTCCATCGCTGATTGATGCGTCGTTTTGTACGCGGTTCAGCTCGTCAGAAAGCCGAAGATGCTAATCGCGATCCTGTGATCAACAACAACAGTGATGCCAAAGGTGCTGGTAGCAACATTGGGGGCACATACGGAAGCAATATCAAAGATCTGGCAAACTAGGCGTTGACACTGATCCACGCAACTCTTGCTACAGAACTGATCGACAATCAGCAAGAGTGTCATGTTCATAATGTGGATGGTCGAGGACGCCAATGAATACAGAGAATGTAGTATTTATCTTTGTACAATCGACCAGTTCCCGTCCGAGTTGTGCGGCAAATACAGCGTAAGTACATAATTATTATTTATCAAGACTGGCGACCTTGCAGAATATCGGATTTTTGTGCATTGCCGTATTATTATTTTACAGGTCAATCATACGAAATGTGCTCTGTGGTAGAAGTCTCGCGCAGAGGTCGATGGCCTTAACAACTTTAATGCTAAGTCAACGCCAACTGTGAATAGGTCGGGTAGCAGCCAGGCAACAATCAAGGTGGTCGCTGGCCGTGTGCGGCGGCGCGTTCAATGGACCGAGACATCACTTGATATCCTTTCCGCAGAGTTCAGCCAATTCAAAGCCACCGGTTTCAAGTTTTCGCCAGCATCCCTTGCCGTTATCACCCGCGACATTGTCCTTAATTTATCAGGGTTCGATGTTTAGTTTGGACCCACTTATGATGATTTCGTTGACGACTTTAAGGTCATTGACAAGATCAAAATGCGCTGGGTACAACAGTACATGGTACGAGGTGTGCCTTTAGCAGCTGAAGCTACATGTGTGGCAAAGCGGTCACAAGGAAATTTACCGTTCAGTTGGAGAGGGGGATCGGGCGGATCGCACACCTCAGCTCCGTCCAAAGCGTTATAATTGGTGGACACAAACTGGGACGGGTCGCTAGCATTAGCGCACCTAACCCCAGCAAGCGGGATTGATGTCACTTGAGACAAGGCTAGATGACAATACGATCAGTTGGATAGCGTAATTCATCGTGAGACTGGGCAAGGGAAGATTCTTGATCCCTCACCTGGGGATTACGATCCTGGTCAGGATCATGATCCTGACTTAAAATCGCGATCCGTACCTAGGATCGCGATCCGGACCCAAAACCACGATCCGGAACCAAGATCACGATCCGGGCCTAGGATCACGATCCGAGGTAAAGTGGTGGATTTATCTCGGGTGGACCACAAAAAGATTCGACTGCTATTAACACCTGGTATAGGCCAAACCAATACTAAGAGGACGATATTCCTTAAACGGTGATGCATGGAATCCGGTTAGGATATACGAATAAGGCACAGGGGTAGGTTTTAGGTTGATTGGGTAGCATTAAAGAGAATTCAATTTACTTCATAAGGCGCACACAAACTCTTCCGGGCAGGATCGTTGGCCTCCCGACAAATATATAGTCGCAATACCCGTCCACAATAGTGTCGCACCTGGATTGTTTGGCGATCTGCGTTCAGGAATTCTCAGGTAACTACAACTGCGATCGGACGCAGCAAGACACGTAAAGGCAAGGCACAAGATCGCGGGACGGCTCGAGTGGTCAGAGGGCTCGCGTATCAAGAACCCACACAGTGGGCAAGGCGATCTCGTTGAGATCAGGGTAACTGTATCAGTACCCCACCGATACCCCAGTAATAGCGCGAAGATTTCCGCCCGACCACACAAATCCATCTCCAACACGGTCAAGTTTTCCCAGGACACGAGTCTACCTGGAATAGTGCAACCCGCCCTACCGACGGGTACACAAGGTGAGAAAAAATATACACGGAATCGGAGTACCCCGTCCGTAAGTCGGTCGTCTGGGCGCCAGTAGATACTCGGGATCGTCTCAAGAAATGAGCGATCACCACTCCACCACACATGCAGTGATACGCTAGACTTGCACTGACCTTCTTGCCTCTATTGTAGGAGGCAAATGGTATTGTAATGCAGATGCAGACAGGATAGAAGTTGTGCAGACCGGAAACAGAGGCTCATATTATGATGAGAGTGGCTTACCACATAGGTGAGCTAAATTGTGGGGCAAGTCAGGGAAACTGCGCGATTTACTAACCTATAGTATGGATGGAATTAAGTTTAACATCAAGTTTGACAATGGACGCATGCTTGCCTTCCACGGAGACGAGACTGTCAAGCACGTAGACCTTGTCTTGGTTGGCAAAGGAATGACAGAGAAAGTTCACATTACATATGGTGCAAGTTCAAGCATTGGCACCCCAATGCTTACCTTCCCAAATGCGAACTACAGCTACCCAATCCAAGATTTGCTAAACAATGTGGCTGGAGTTGCTTATTTGAATG